CCTAATAGCGAGGGCCTCCAACCTACTAGCTTGTTGTTACTAGCAATGCCCCTAATTCAATTCTTCTATGCCAGTTACGAACAATGAAAGCTTGGGCATCAAACGTGGTCAGTCCTGGTTCAGGGGTTTTGGGATCTCCCGTTCCTGCATCCACAACATCACGCAGCATTCCTGAGCTTCTCAGATTGGCAAACCATCTAAGATGCATTGCACAACTACAAGATGGAGCGCGTTCCGTGGTGTCTTTTGTCTTCTCTCGTTTCGCTGGTGTCACTGGTGTCTCTATTGTCTTCTCTTCTTCTGTCTTCTGTGCCATCTTAACCGTGCAATCCAAGAGACTCCGCATCAAGCTGCCCAATGATCATCGAACGCACATAACCGTCTTTGGCGGCCAAAGCTTGGAGGGCCCTGTGACGGACCTGCGGATCCTGCCCGTTGGATCACCGGTAAATCACAAGGACCACCGGAGCACCATGGAGGGTTTGGTCGTCCCTCGCCGGGGTCCAGTCCGGTGTCTCAATAGGTGTTTGTATGGGGTCTCACGGTTTCTCACGATCAAAAGACACAGGTTCCGTGTTCATGTTCGAAGCCAAAATCACACATCGACACATTCTTGGGGTGACAAGCTCTTTCCTTTACCTTTGACATCCAAAGCAATGTACGGCTGAAAGTATTCACATCTGGGCAAAGTCTACGCGTTTGTGGAGATGGTCTGAGTTTCGGACTTTTTCTTCCCATATGTTGGATAGATTCTCTTTGTAGAAATCTCGCTTGAGTTTGCGAGGCCGCATCTTTCGGACCACTCGATGCTTCAAGTGACAAAAAGAGCAATTTTGCCAATGACATCCTCGGAGGCTGGCAAAATACAGGCATGGATTCCAAGTTCCTGCTGCATGCTTTGCCACCGCCGCGGGACTGCCTTGAGCAATTGGCTTTAACTCGTTCTGAACATCCAATTCCTCACTGTCTTCACTTCTGCCACTGCATGGCGGTGGTTGCAATTGGCTGTTCACGGCAGTCTCTTCATAAATTTCTGGATCAACCGACTCCGAAGCGGGTGTGCTGTTCACCTCCTTAATTGTTCGTCATCTACGTTCGTTTAAATGCACATAAAAAAACAAATCTGAAACTCTCGCACCATCAGCAAACTTTTTTCCTTCGGAATCGCGGGGATCCAACTGCTGCGCTTGTCAACGGCTGGGCTAGGCTGTGTGACGAATGGCAGCTTCGAGAATGTCGAAGCAGGATCATTGTTTCATCGCGCAGCTCTGCAATTTGGGGCACGAAGTG